CCACTGCCCCCCGCCCCCTCGCAACGCCCCTGATAATCAGAGCTACCAAACACTCAAAATAACAAGGTTTTTATATGCCAAATAACATTGGGATCTTCATTACAATCAACAGCTATTGTAAATTTCCCATAAACATAGTCAATAACTTGATCCAGTCTCCGTTTTCAAATCTCACGGGGACGTTTGATTGTTCGTTGGGCAAGTCATGTTCTATTGATGATAATGAAACGTGTCAGATTCGGGTCTAGGACAATACCCCTCCCCCCCCCCCCCCATCAAATACCCACCCCACTGATGCTGAAGAACCCTGACCTTAACCCCAATATCCATCCCAATAGCTAACCCTATCATCAAATCCTAAACTCAACTCCAAACCAAGATTTAACCCTAGATCTAACCTAACCCTAGTCCTAACTTATCCATAAATAGACTTGGGGTAATTGCTCCGAGTTGGAAATATCGGGTGGGGGGGGGGGGGGGGAGTATGTCCGAGAGGTAATTGTCACTGTTAACACTCCCTCTGAGGGGAAAAATCTAGTGTGCATAGCATATATTTTGTGCTCTGTGTTCTAAAAGCAATAAATAAGATTAACTGTATTTTATGAAATGACAGCGCGGCATGTTCAAAAATACTGATCGGCTGCGCGACCATGCAGATTAGAGGAAATATTATTCACTATAGCATGTGAGATTGATGATGTATGCAAAAAGGTTTTAACTTTTTTTTTTTCTCTGTGGCATGCAGTTCTACATTGTCTTACAAAGTTTGGGCAGTAAAGTGTACCTCTATAGACGTAGCGACCCTTTGACCTCGTCATATAAAAGGATGGTGTAGTCACCACTATACCCAGCCGCCGTTACTTTCCCCAACATAAGTCTGGTACCCATTAGAGCTGGGTTAACTCAGGACTTCGGTATGACCTAATTTTTCGACGACCGGTTACTTTTAAAATGCTAATGACATATACATGTACTGCGAAATCTTAAAGAAATGATTGATTTAATACGTAACCGTAATAGTTATAATGATTTTCAATAACGAGGGAGAAGAAAATTTATATTAATATTGAGCCAGTAGCTCAAAGCTAGAACTGAGTCATCCTATATCTTTGTAGTCAGTGTTTCTTCCAGACTTTTTCCTCCGATGGGGGGAGGGGGGCACTTCAAATTATCGGGAGGGGGACTAAAATTTCCGGGGGGGGGGGCGGACACTGTTAAAAGTATATATTTTCTATATAACTTCCATTTCGTTCAGGGGGGGGGGGGGGCTCCTGAAGAGATGCCTGAAAGAAACTCTGTTTGTAGTTAGTTTTTAGTTTAGGTTTAAGTTTAGGATAACGTTTTAATTAACTACAATGTTATTTTTAGTAATGTAGTGTATGATTTAGTGTAAGTTGTGTGCTAATTACAATAATCCAATTAGGCTACTAAATATTGTTTATAAGAAAGAAACTGTTCTTTAATTATTATCTGTAATGCATGTTTCACAAATATATATTTTTAAACAAGTTAATAAGGAGCCGTGTGAAATGTAGCGTCCTGTTAGTGAGTTATAATATTTTTTGGCGATTTGCCTCGAAGAAAAAGTAGAAGGTTCAAAAATCGGCTATGTGTACTTATTATATTATATTGGCTTAAAGTTGACTTATGTATATATGCCGACTTGAAATGCCATATAAATATTTTTTATAAATTATGTATGCATGCCAACTTGACATGCAATATATATATATATATATATATATATATATATTTGTATAACTTTGTGTAAATATTTGTCGTTCTGTATGCGTGTGTACGTGTATGTAAACACGGTCACTGATTAAGTACGTCTAATGAAATTTCGCACGTAACTATTAGTTCGTATTCGAAAGTATCTTTTAAAATTTGTGTAAATTCCTATAACCGAGTGAGTACGAAAACTTGAGCACTGTTTCAGCTACATAGACAAAATTTCAAAAATATAAGTATTAGATCCTATGTGTGGATTTCTATCAACTTTTGAGCGATTTCCTGTACCAAAAAAGTAGTAAATTCACCATTACTCGAAATATTTATAATTCGATGATTTGTTATCATATTATATATAAGCATCATATTCTATGAATTTATATCCTCGAAAAAACTAACGATTTTGACTGAAACATACCTACCTATATATCCCAATTCTACTGGGAGCGCCATGCCAACCCTTATGTTACATACGTATATACGAGTAGGATTTGGGGAGCTCAATGCTGTTTTATTTATTTCCATAAACAAAGTCTTATCAAAACTTAAACTGCACCAACGAAGAATTAAAGACCCTAACAAAGCTTTAAAGACCACAATTTATTCACAAACCCACCAGCCCTATTAAAAACTACAACAGACCTACTAAAGACACCCCCCCCCACATATCTTACAACGACCATAACAGATCTCAAAGATCCCAAAAGACTTTTCAACGATCCTAGCAGAACTATCAAATACCCACAACAATATTGTCAACGGCAATCCTCCAATAATCCTTCGGCGACCCCAACTGATTTATCAAAGACTTAGAACAGAATTTTTAACTACCCCAACATACCTTTCAACAATCCC